TGGTAGTCTATTAATAAACCATACCATATTCGATAACAAGCTAAAATCGTTTATATTCCAAAGTAGTTGACCCCGCGAACGATCGTTTAGTTTGTTTATTTTTACTCTTTTTTTCGATTCATCTATATTTATGATCTGTCCTCGCTCTTCAGTCATCAATGGAAATTCGCAATAAAGAATTTGTGGAAATAGATTAGGCGTTCTTTATTACAATTTAGGTGATTCATTGTAATGACAGCAATGTTCCTTACATTGCTGTGCAGTATATTATTAAAATCTAAGTGTTTCATTACTTGAAGATTTAATAAGATTAAATGATTAGGTACATTCTAAGAATGAAACAGTAAAATATAAACAGGTTGATGTCCCGACAATTGAAAAGTAAAGTCTTATTTATATTTGTTCTTCAATTAGACCTCGTTTAATAATTCTATTAAATACATTGCTGAAATGTGTTAATAGTTGCAAACTTGTCGTTTTCTAAAGTATACATGGTTGCGCCAACAAGAGCACTCGCGTACTGTGAAAACGTATTTATTAAATGTTCGTTACAGAAATTATTTGTATTTCTGCCTGGTCAAAGGTAGTGCAGTGTCCCACTTACATACGTTATGTTCTTCGGTTGATGTATTATTTCGTGAAATTATTATTGTTTTCCTACGGTCGTTTAACTATATCGTTAATTTTATTGTACCTGTGTTTTCTTTCATTTATATTAATATTCTCGTACATCAGAAAGACAAAAACAAAAAACAAATCCAGACTACATCTCTGAAGACTCCTTGAAATATAAAGTTAGAAGGAACTTTATGCTAAGTAATGATGCGACTACAAACGACAATGCAGGTTTTCTTTGCTTGATTAAATTTATTTATTATAGATAAGATATAAAAGGGATGTCGACAGCATAACTTTTATTATTTGTGCAGATAGAATTCCGGTTCAATATAAAATAATAGGAATCTCTGGCTTTTGCATTTCCAGTTGTTTTATCGTAAAGGAGACGCTCGTTGAGTGAGACGATTGAGATACTTAGGGCATCTTATGCCCTGGAAAGAATGCTCTTTGCGTCTTAGGATCGTGTAATACGTATATGCATAACAAGCTTTTCTAGCTTAACCACAAAGGTTGAAAATAAGAGCCGAGCAATAGACTCGTCTATTCAATATTTTGTATAGGGTAATTGTATTTTTAAACTGTTCAAAAATGTAGACGACTACCTCGTCGACCGAGTGGTCGCAATTGCGACTGCCGAGCAAGGGCTTTTGGATTCGATTCCCGGGTAGGGCAAAGTATTACTACACTTTTTAAAAAACTCAGTAGAATCACTTAGTCTGGAATTGTGCCCGGTGAACGGCAATAAGATCACCCCCTATTACATATGACTCATAACATAAATAGTGAAAAGTGGGTGTTATATTGTACAGTGGTATTAAGTGTCGTAGATAATGTGCACACTGCCTACTCTTTCGGGGATAAAAGGCATGATGTTATGTATGTCAACAATGTATTCGCATGGTGCACTAGGGTTTTACTAGAATGGTGTTAGTGCGATATAGAGGTAAAATCTAATCTGTATAGGCAGCATCCCTGTACCGGAACAACTACCTGTCGAACGTGCAAATATTTGTTCCGTATGGATATAGAATGTACTGAAGCAGCTAATACATCCCATTCGTCATGATTCCTAAAACCAATTAGCAATCTCGTATTCAAATAGTAGAAAAAATGCAATTTTTTTATTTCCTGATCAAAAGAAAATTATTTTCGGATTTGTTCAAATTATATTATATCAAGGTCTTGGCCGCGGCCGGTATACGGCGATAGTGATGTGCCACCTGGCAAATGTAACTAATATGATTGTAACAACGGTTAGTTCGTAATAAGTGAGAGTGCTACTACTACACCTCCGCCTACGACATCTTAGAAAACTTTTGTAATATTGCATTACGTAGGTACTAGAAAGGAGTCGAGGACTTTTACTCTCATTTATTTAGGTAATTGACATGTATACCTATCTATATAATATGTACTTATCGGTCGACGTATCTGCAAAATATTTGTCATTACTGTTGCAATACTCATCATTGAGTTAAAATTCTGTAGGTAATAACCGAGCGAATTAATCAAATGTTATTTTCGCCGACACGTCCCAATTTATGTTAACATCGTAGTTAAATTTTAATTATAACTTTCATATTGAACTCGACCTGAATTGAGGTCTGTTATTTTAACCATTTGTGGTGTGGTCAAATCCAAACGTTCGCTTGATCGGAATGCATTAATAGATTTATTAGAGGTTACTAATTAGTTCTGATTTATTGAAATTAAGGACGTGTCATTCTAGTCGTAATAAAGCCTCAATGGTTTGACTGTTTGTTCACCTAATTAAATCTACACTAATCCAATTTCGTATGTCTTTAGTACAAGTCGAAATTTGTGTGTTCCTGTGACTATTGTACTATGTATATTGAAGTGATGAAGATGAGTATGCAATGTATAATTATTTAAATGAAGAGTACTTCGACGGCGAAGTTTTATTAACATGCAAAAGTTATTCCAAATATGAAGAGCGAGATATTTCGTGTACAGTTACCGTCCGTGGTTGTGATCGTAATATTTATAAAACAATTCTGACAAACATTTACAAACATCTTGGTGAATATAAATTGAGACTTTATTGAATAACACTAGCGACCAGGGGTAGTGCAAGCAACTAAAGGTAATTGCAATAGATTGGTTGTACGTGTTACTGGAGTGCTAGCGTTTATCGCCAACTCTATGCACAGGACACCCAATGTCTGAACCAATTATTTAGTCAAGTGCTCTTCTATTGATAGCGCCGGTCATCCGATTGCTCAGATCCTTTTTAAGCGTGTAAGGTGTATTGTGCGAAGCTAGCTTTATTTTGACACGCTTTATTTCTCTACATTCTGGGATACCTATGATCATTTTCGTATCTCATTATGACATAATAGCAGATTTCTTAATCTAATGCCTGTTTAAACCAATACCTTTTAAATTTAAAGGATATAGGTAGGCGGCACTTAACGTGGGCTGGTTTAAGTATCCCTTCATGCCCAGTAACTCTTTCTTAAGAGACGATTTAGGTGTGAATGGTGAAAATGGCCCTACGTTTTTTATAACTTTGATAGAAAGTAGGAGTATTTTGAATGTAATGTACATTAACATTTGTCCTTGTTGCTCGTCGGATGATGTCTATGTTCTGAAGGTATGAACAGGAAGTTATTGCAATTTGACACCTCCATGTTTACCAAGCAATTTATAGTTTTAGAAACAATAAAGTTATTAATATGATGGATGTTTTGAACTGTTCATATCTATAAAAGTGGTAGAATTAGATATTTGACGTCTTACTTCTAATGTCTTCTTATTAATACTGAAAAACAGCTGAAATATTTTTCAACTGTACTTAGTTTGAAGTTCGTCTAAGTGTTATATTTTGTTCCTAAGCCGAGAATGTTACCCTATTCATTATGAGCTGCGGTATGTGTCGCATAATGAACACAGTCCTTTGGAGTTCACTATGCATAAAAAGTTGCTAAACAAACTGAGCAGGTATAGCATAAAGAAGTAGAGGACGCCTACACGAGGTACCTAGGCCTGAATCACGTACATATTTAGATAGGAAGACAAAGGTTTAGCGACAACTAGGTACTCTAAAACCCTACTGTTTACTTGAAGACTTTTAATTATAAATTAACGTCACGCACTTCGATTCAGCCTAAACCTAGAAATACATTGGCTCTTCAACAATAGTATTACGTACCTAGTTCGTGATGGAATTTCAGATATTCTTATAGACACAATAAACTGTTTCATGACTTCATAATATTTATGTAGCCTATGAAGTATATCTTGTGTTTTTTGCGTGAGAATTTGTAAGACTTCATAATTAAGTTTTTATATATTTAAGTAACTGATGTGTGATTTGAACAGTATCTTAATATGTAGTTTATCGTTACGTATTTCCGTAAATTATTATTTAGCAGTTTCACGATAATCCATGTTTGAATTCGTGTAACGTTTATCGTTCGGAAAAGTAACTTACTTTTATTCTAATAATAGCCAATCTTAGAAGAAAACCAAACGAATTTATATAAACCGTTCTTCTTATCTGATATTCCCGTATTTTTTATATAATACGCAAAATATATGTGTAATTTATTTCGGGGCAAGTTGGAGTCATTGATTACACGTATTATCAGGGCATCTACCTCAGACCTAACAGAGTATGAAATTGTTTTCTGCTATCGCGAGCTGTTTTTGGCAGTTGAACGACATTTTATGTTTTTATTGTCGGTTGATTGTCAAGCGGTGACTTTGTGAGTAATCAATACAGTTTTGGTGAATAGGTACCTCTGAGCGTCTTAGCTCGACCGCAAAAACGTTCTTGTTTAAAAAAGCGAAGCAATGAGTGCTCTTGCTTTCGGTGAGCACAATAGGGCCCCGGTTGTTTTGAAACCTGACACCAGTTACGTCACTTGTTCTAATAACGATCTAAATTGTTGTCAATTCAGTTTAAGCGCTTCATTGTTATATAACAAGTACCCAGTTCGCTACTGCTACATGTAATTAAAATGATAGCGGTTCTATCATCATAATCACTAAATTGACAATGTCATTTCGCTCGGCAGAACAACTTAGGCAATCGCAAGTTTAGAAAAATACACTACGAGTGACAATATTCGTCTTATTTATTTTTCTGTTATTACTAACTTGACAATAAATTGTACACGTCAAAAATGATAATGAGAAGTAAAAAGATAAATGAAATAGCAACTATTGAACGCTGGAATCGTTGGGAGTCGTAAGGTTTCACTTGTTTATCGGTCATGATGACAGAACGTGTACAAGAGCGGTAAATATGAAGAACTGTGTCGTCGCTCAGCGTCGTAAGACGTGAAACTTGAGATGTCAGCGAAACAAGGCCGACTGGAGGTGTTCGTCCTTGGCAAGGACAAGGCAGGATGACTCACCTAGAGGCTGGTGCAGAGCGGCGTGCGCGTCACAGTCAGCACAGATGGTAGAGCGCAGCATCCTCTCGCGCTGGAGCCGCCGCAGCAGCTGCAGGTGCTGCGGCGTGAACACCGTGCCCGAGCGCTCGCCCACCAGCAGCACATCGCCGGCTTCCCACCAGGCTTGCTCGCGCAAAGTGCCGTCGCGATTGAAGAGGCCCATGTCTTTGTAGCCTTCTGGTGGACTGAGCGCACCCGGCTCCGGCTCCTGGTACCGCTCGCACGCGCCACAACCCGAGCATTCTTCGCCTTCACCCTCATCAGAGTATCCACATTCATCGCGCACCACGATAATGTAATCCGCTTCAAAAAATTCGTTAGCGCTCTCATCAAATATAACTCGGTGCTTTTTAGATTTGGTGCCCTTTTTCAGTGATGATTTTAAGTTTTCGTGATCTTTATTGTGGCGCGTGTCGCGCGCGGCGCGGTCGCCGCGCATCGTCGCGAGTTATCGCGACGCGAGCGGTCGCTAAAGTGTCGGAAGGCTAGGACGGCAGGCGTCAGGCGGCGGTGTATGCCGACTGCAGCGCCGCGCCCGCCCTATCGATCGTCGCCGCCCGCCGCCTCGTTGGGGCCCGCCAGCGTTACGCCGACCATCCACACACACCACCGAGACGATTTCCCACTTGCCATGCTATAAACATTGAGCACCGCGCGCGCTCATTAATTGGGCTCATAAATAAAAATGACTACCAAAATTTTTTTTTCTTTTATATAATTTTTTTCTTAAGACCTTAAAAAGAACCCTAAATGTAGTGCATGTTTTTTAATTTTATGTCGCATATGATTTTCTAATTTTCTAATAACTTCTCGTTGGGCTAACGGCAATGTAAGCACTGGCAGAGTATCCCGAGCTGGGGAACAATGAGCCGCGCTCGTATATCGTGTGTTGTAAATAAATAGTGTGAGTCGCACGCCTGTGCCGCGTGTTTACAGATGCTTGTCAACATTGAAAGAGAAAGCGACGCCACGGGCAGCTCAGATGTATACAGCTGACCGCCACAATTCTAGTATTCTAATCACAAGTTTAGCACCTGAACGTGATAACCAGAATATTGTTATTAAACTTGATCGCATTTGATCACATTATAATTTAAATTCGGCTTATAGATTCTTCGAATACAACAATCATTTTCCTGAAATGTGTTTTTATTTATTGTTTTCAATAGGTTCTTGTTCAATAGAAGTGTTGGTTAGTTAAGTACCCACTTTCTAAATAATATTTTTTATTGTTTACAGGTAAACCCGATTACGAGGGCGAGGAAGACATTTTTGTATTGTACACAATTTATAATAAAAATAAATATTAGAACATATTTGTGTTGATATTTTTAGTAGTAATGGATTTATTCATATTTATTATTTCTAATTTGGTGCTCAGACTATTCATAGGGTTTCTAATTTACATATTAAATGTTATCTATATTACAAAGTAATAGAATTCCTGCCTATGTAAGTTTTTTAACCGTAATTGCCTAGAACTAGCCAATGGAGCGTGCCCTACAAAGAGCCAGTAGGTACTTATAAAATAACCAACTTGTATCAAATGAGAGAGCCCCGCCGCAGCGTTCTTCAAGTATCAATTACTCTTTCAATATTCAATAGACCTCTCGACATTTCCAAAGTACCCGATTGCATGCGGAATGTATAAAACCTGGTATACAAATGCTTACGTATAGATGATGTTCTCATTTTCAGTAATTTTAATGTATTTCCATGAAAAGCAATTTATTAAATGAAAGGGACCGCAGGAATGAACATTTTATAATTATTTTAAATCATCTCAACTTTGTAATTATGTTGAAATAGAGCTCAAATACACGGGCACACATATTTCTAAAACGTACTCAGATACGTTACAAAGCTAGTATATAATAACATGGTGCTCCAAATGGAAACAGAAAAACTTTTAAGCGCCAGAAGCATGAACTTGAAATGAGTAACAGACTAAACAATTCGTTACGAAATTGAAGTGAACAAGGTTTAAACAATCGCAGTTCGGCCTTAGTGACGGCGGGTGAATGCAAGCCGTAAACTCGCTGACTTCGGTGAAATGCACCGCACAGCACGCGGCCCCGCGGTGCGGCTACACTAGCAGCGGGCAACACAGCCGTCCGACGACGGTCAGAACACTGGAATATATATCCGCAAAATGCAATTGTTTACGTACACTTGTGAATAACAATTTTATTATAATTATTTCGCTTTCACATCTGAATGCCTCTTCGTAATCGCAATTTTAAGTTCCTCCGAAAATTCAATTTCCCACGTAGAAATGTTTTTGATCGACTTTTATAGTGTTGACTGTTGGATTTATGATGCAAAATAAATGTTGTTCTCTTAGTAGGTAACTGACCAACTCATAGATATTGTGGGACTGTGGGTGTTAATTAAAAATAGCGTAGGTTGAATTTTCAGTTTACTTGTTTTTCTTTGCTGTTTATTGTCACACTTGGGATTAACTCAGCAGTACCGTCAATTTTGTTTTCTTTATTGGTGACTGTCCTTCTTTTTCTCCGTATATATGTGATATCAAAACTTAGTTTACGGAAAGTTTCTAGTGATAAATTCATTCAGTTACGTTTGTAACAATAGTCCAGTCAATTGAAGGATGATTTTACGTAAATGAGGTGATTGGTTTATGGTGATTAGACATAATTTCGGTGAAGATATGCAACTTTTTTTTCTTAGCTCGTCGAGTACCTACCGTATTTATAGACACAATTAAAGAACAATAGGTTGCGGTCACCGGTGACCGCTTGGTGTTTGACAGTTTAACGGGGTAAACGAGCTGATGGATCACCTGATGGTAAGCCATTGGCACTACCCGTGCTCATGGGAACTCGCAACATTAGACCGATATGCTTAATTCTGCATTAAACCACATTGAATACTTATTGGCTAGATACAGCTAAGTGTTGTGTAACTAAGCCGAGACGCTGTAATGGGGATGATGACAGGGTATGAAAATTAAAAATATAATTAGTCCGTAAGTTAGGTAATGAAAAAATATTAGACACGTATTTTTTTATTTTGTCGTATAATAAAACAATACTTGGATAAAACGAATCAAAGTTTAGGAGTGGGGGCTAAAACGTCATTCCTTAGTATAAAATGTACTGAGAAGTGACGTCACGCGACATTTCAAATCAATATATCTTCGAAACTATTCGTTTCTGTGAGAAAATAAAAAATACGTGTCTAATGTTTTTAAATAATCTATCAGACGGACATTAAAATAAAAATTAGTCGTCTACCCCATTACGTTTATCCATTGCTTTTCACTGGTAGCCTTTGCGACAACAGACCACATAAATATTAAACAATGTTATGTATTTTACATTGCAGTTATTATCCGTTTTGTGTACAAAGATTAATTTATTGTACTAGCCATGTATGTTTACGTAATTATAAACTAATTGTAAGCTATTTATGAAGGTGTGGTGAGAGTAGAAAATAATTTGTTTGTCATCACACCTATTCTTGTCGAGATAGTTGTAAGAACCGATTTAATATTATTTAATAAAGATCTAGTAGCAACGGTAAGTATCAATGTGACTTTTCCGAGTTATATGTAGTTTCTTAGTTTAGACACCACTGAAAACATTGTGAGGAAACCTGGCCATATAATTTGTATTATGTAAACATGGTGATTAATCCTCAAACCTTCTACGTGCGAGAAGAGGCCTGGTCAGCAGTGGCCACTTATAGGCTGTTGATGTGATGATGACACCTTCAGGGTAGCAGTGCTCTCTGATAAACCTGTTTTTTTTTTTATTATGACTCTCAACCCGCCTTCTAAGAGTCGAGATTGTGGCTAACTCGTCTTTTGTAGAGGATGCATAGTCCAGCAGCGATCCGTCATGGGCTGTTGATGTAAATTTTATTTATTTATTTAAGGGACAAAAAACAGTTACGTATTAAGATTTTACATAAAAAGTTTTACATTAAACAACAACTACAATAAATATGTAACCCACACCATTGCCCACAATTTGGTATAAAGTATAACGGCAATAATGACCGTGTTGCGGTAGTGTTATCGTAATTTAATTAAATTAAAGTTTACTAAATATAATTAATACATAAAAAGATACAACAAAAAAAACAATTGTACATTGTAAATAAGATATTTTTAAGACATTATAGACGAATTTAGGGTATGAAGATCTAATTGGAAAAAATAAGGACTTTTATATTGGCTCAGCAACTTCTGCGATATAAAATGATTTTATTCAAACGTCCGAAGAAGAGGAGACAGATAAATGTGACATAAGTTTCCACTTCGACGTCTCTTCACGAAGGCGAATGAGTGAAATTGAAAAAGCGTTCGAAATAACGTGTTCGAAAGCCAGTCTTTGTGCACGGTTTTAGAATGTGAAATAGTACGACGAGTATAATGATACAAAGGTTCCACTTTAGTCTGTTCTAGGGTCCGTCACTGGCGAGAATTTGAACTGTATTGCTTAAATTACTATGGAGAATGACAAGATACCTACTAAAAAGGAATTTTGAATAAAATTTTGTTGAGTATTTAAAGAACTTAATTCAGATATTTTTCACACCTTATTCGTTACTTGAGGCTGCAGGAAGGGAGAAATATGTGTTTATTTTTGACAGTATGAATATCGTTAAGACACCCGCTTCTCATGGATCAGAGTACGGGTTCGAAACCTTAATTTCTAAGATTATGACTGCCTCATCGGCCGAGGGGTCGCAATTGCAACTGCCGGGCAAGGAGTCTCGGGTCCGATTCCAGGGTCCGGCAAAGTATTACTGGGTTTGTAAAAACCTCAGTAGTAGCACGGAGTCAGAAAATGTGCCTGGTATAAGGCAATAGGCTCCCCCCCTATTACATGGGACTCATAACATAAATAGTGAAAAGTGGGTGTTATTCATGGGCACAGTGGCATTAAGTGCCGTAATGTGCACCTCTGCCTACCCCTTAGTTAAAAGGCGTGATGTTATGTTATGTTCTAACATTATTTTAGACACCACTAAAAAACGGTGAAGGAAAACATCGCGAGGAAACCTGGGCTTATGATTTAGAATTATAAGTTTAAATTGCCAATCCGCATGCGTGGTGATTACTTCTTAAAACCCTCTCCGTGCGAGAAGAGGCCTTTGGTCATCAGTGGCCACTTATAGATGATGATGATGAAGAATTAGAGATTAATTCCAGGACAGTATAACTCTCGAGTACCGACCACAAGTACAAACGTAGCCTTCATAACAAAGTTGAAATATCGACAGTACTTGTAATATAATTGTGGAATCGGAATAATATTATTATAAATTCAAAGACCCACTCTTTTACAAAGGCGGTTTGAAAAATAGACTCGGTACGTAGCAACCTTCATATTTAATCTATAGCTATGCGAAATTATACGGACCGTTTGTTATAAGGCAAGAAAGCAATTATAGAAATCGAATTGAAACAAATCGGGGCCGCAACTGGGCGGTGTCTGTTTATGATAAATGGATAACAGAGAGAAAATACAAAGGCTGTTACGTACACAGTTTACAATTTACCTTTCCTCCTAAGTAGGAAATAACATT